AGATCAGTCCACTAACAATCGATTTAGTGTATCTAAGCAAGAATGGCCAAATCAATTGCAGATCACTCTGCAACTGATTCCTGTACTTCACGCCCAACGAAAAGAGTAAAGTAAGTCAACAGGAGAATTTCTCCCATTGATACCTCTCCTCTCCACAGTTTAGACCCTGTGGTAACAAGACCTAAGGCACATCAACTCTAGCTACGCTATTCTGCTTTTTATGGTAGTGTAGACATGGGCTACGTCTACAGAGAGGTGTCCGTATCAGAGCTAAAACTAACACAGGTATTTCTGATTCCTAGTCCTGTGCTCAAGTCACTAAGCTACCATCCGCAACCAAAATTGATACCCCTTTTTAAGTCTGGATCATTAAAGTATTACAACTTGGATTTGAGTTTCCAGACACCTGGATTTACAATATCCTCTGAAGTGAGAAAATGAAAGACAAAATTTGATAAAAATTGATTGTTTAGTATGCTTTAACAACAAATTCAGACTGTTTCTAAAACCAAGGCTGGATTAGCACAAGTAGTCTTGTCTAAATTTGTCTAAAATGTTGGTCTCCAACCCTATCAAATCTTTGTCCATCAGCTGAGTTTTAAGAGTACATTTTTGTGATATGGTTGCAAAAAGAGATATTCTTTTAAGAGGTCTTTAATGGTGCTCACAGAGCCTCTTTGATGGCCTTGAAAATATATTTGATGGCCTTTCATTAATATATTTTATAATATTCCTAATAAAGCAAAATCCTAACCAAAGTAATCTGAAGAACAGGAATGTATTTTGAGTATGAATTTTAAAACTGATCTACAAACAGCAAATAATATATAATTCAAGTATCAGTTAAGGAAGCTTCTGAACTGGAACACTGGAAAATCACTTTTACACAAAAATTGCATAGTATTTTCATTCTAATCCTTTCCACTTTGACTGAACTGATCCTGAAATTCTGTAGCCATAGAAAATGTTACAGCTGTCTCAGTGTACCTCAAGAGACACTTGGCTGGGTGGGAACTTAGACATGAAATTATTTTTTATTATTTGCTACAATTAACTCGTAACACATTTTGGCTCCATTGGCAATATGTATTCATGAAAAAAGTTAAAGCTTTAGAGTTTATATTTCAGATGCTGCACGATAAACACCTAATAGATACTTTGATTTGTTGTAATGTACATATTCACTTAGTCTAAATTAATATTTTATTTTGTTAAGCTAATAATAAGTGCACAACTGAAAGATAAAACTGTTTATACTGCAGTGCTGTGTTCCTATTCAATAAGCACAGGTGAGGTGGCAAACTGAATTTCTCTTGGTCTGGAGTTTAATGCTTTTAACACTCTAACTTCAAGAAAATAACTGTACTTAGATGGCTCAAGTGCTTTCCAGCTTTACATAAATATGAAGGAAAAAAGGAAAGTATTTTTAAAATTATTAAATACTTATGTTGATACTAAAATGGCCTCAAGTCAATACTCTTTGCAAGCTGGCATGAGACATACCTCTACTGATGCTACAGTCAATTACCCCATTCCTTTGGGACATTCAAGCATCCCTGAACACTAGTATTGAACCACTTTGTTATGGGAGAAAAGGGCAGTCCAAATCACTAGGGATCATCCAGGCAACAGTTACATCCAGACCCATGTAAGATCAAGAGACATTTTCATTTCATAAATGGGAAACACAGGCCTTGTTAATTTATGTCAGTCCCTGAGTATTTCTTTCCTTTTAAGGACAGATATGTTCTTGTAGAAGGGGTTTCAACAGTTATGAAGCCAGGGTACACTTAAAAAGAGCCTCTAATGTTTTTCAGATTAATGCTGGCCAAGTGGTGTCAACACCCACACTAATATCTTCCTATAAAAGTCAACTGTGAAAATTCCCCATCTATATAGTCTTCTTCACAGTAAGCTCTCTGAGCACTAGGACAATTCCCAACTTCAGATCTAAATAAGAGCTGATCAAAAGATTTCAACAAACAAATAAAACAGAGCAAGAGTTTTGATTTTCTCTTTGTTTTCTAGACAGATCTACCATGTATAAAGTAAGCCATAAGAAAATAGTAATCTGATTACTATGGATGAGAGGGGAAGACAATTGCTTTTGAAGCAATTTTCAGTAGGTTACTAACTTAAGTTTAGCAACATATTACATGTATGAAAACTGTCATGCTAACTCACAGGAAGGCAAGTTCTTTTGTCAGAATAAATATACTCTAATTTCAGAGGTGGAGGGGGTTTCTCAAAAGAAATCTACTATCAAAGACTGGCTGTAAAGAGGACTTACTTGGAAGGCAATTGTCGCTGTGTAGCTATCAACAACTTCAGTCATCAATTGCAACTGAAAAATCACTTAGCTATTAAGTTCACTCAGATGATCACTACTGAATGCTACCATCAGGGATGCTGTAGTGCCAAATATCAAAAGACAATATCTGGTAGCTCCTTTTCCAAATAAAATAAAGTGGACTCTACTGTATGGGAAATACCAATAACACTTAATTGAAACATAAAACATCAGCAACAGGAGCAGATCCCTCTAGCTGTGAAATTATACCAATAGTGAAAATCTTCACCACAGTAAAAAAATATATACCTTTGTCCATCCACTGTGCAAAGTGACACTCCCCACAAATCAGGGCTGAACTTGGCCAATTGTGGAATATAGTCAGCAACCTACCAAAAATATGAAATGAAATCGTACAGTTAGTTATAATTAAAATGTTTATTTTCACTATTAAGCAATATATTGTAACAGGCATAAATACTTATGTATATTATGCTGTGGAATACAGCATATTCTATTTCTCCGAATAGCTTAGATGACAGAGATTTCATTCAGGTAACAGAGTTTAGATGAAAAAATGTCATCCTGTTTATCAATCCCCCAAGCACTCTCCTTTACAGTCAGAAATAGAACAGACTTTACTTATCATAACACATATAATAAAGCAACAGACTTTTACATCCAGAGTATGGTTGATTTCCAAAAATCATTAGAAGCTTGGAAATGCTTCAGAAGTTGAAAGCATATCAAATTATGAGACCATACTATATTTAATACAGTTTAGAATAAGTTAACAAGTATAAAAAAATTACTAGGTTGCAAGAACTCAAAAAAAATCTCTATTGAATTCTTATCTCCTTGTACTCCTAAAGCAGTTGTCTTAAAATATATGAAATATAAAGCAACATCTCCACTTTCAAACAAACTGTGGCTCTCTTTTGAGCTGGGCAGGTATGAAGGGAGAACACACACCAAAAAATCCCATCCTTACAAAGATATTACCTGTCCTCCAGATTGTTTTTTAGCACTTTCATACAGCTCATCAATGTGTGAAGTAAATGACATAAAGTCTGGAATGACAAACTTCCGCCTAAAGGCCTGAGTAAGCAACACAATGTTGCTTTGTACACACCTGCAAAATAAAAGAAAATTGTCATGTTAAGTAAATATTCTGCTTTTTATTTCATCTAAGAGGACTATAAAAGGTACAATCCAGTCCAGGTTTACGACTAATCCACTGAAGTAAACAGCAGAACGTGCTTTAAGCGAGGGCTGGATGACTGAGCCCTTAATTATTCTTATAGGCAGGGCTCAACAAACAATACAATCTACTAGCCCATGGCGAGTAGATTTCAGCCGCACGCCCTGTTCATTCGCAGCGTATGCATGCGCATTGCGGCTCTTGCACATGCGTAGTATGGGGCTGGCAAGAGAATTTCACTGCCGTTCATCAAACCCTGCTTATAGGCATAAGATAATCTCTATTAAAAAGAACTTTCCAAAAAGATATTAGAGAAATTGATTAGTTACAGCAGTTGAATACTAGTCGGTTTTATTCTTTAATTATGTTATGCTCTAATTTAAGGTTTCAACTGCAGGGGTGCACTTCATGTTTAATTGTATGTGACCCAGTTCATTCTATCCTGCTGCATCCTAGGAATCACTATGTAGTGTTTTCCAAAGGTATGTTCAGAGGCCCATCTGGCAGCTCTAAAAATGTCTACAAGTGGAATCTTCCATAGATAGGATATAGATACAGAGAACACTTTGATGGAGTGTGCTTGAAGAGAGGTAGGAGGATTTATGTTGTTCTGTTCATAACAATCAGATACAGTCCAATATCCAGTGCAAGTCTCTGGGAAGAAACTGGTTTTATCTTTATTATGATCAGCTATGGATATGAAAAGTTTTGGTGATGATCTGAGAGGCTTAGTCCTATCAGGATAAAAGGACAATGCTCTGTGTACATCAAGCACGTGCAGAATGGATTCAAAAGTGTTGGCGTGTAGTTTAGAAAAGAAAGTAGGCAGATGAATGGTTTGGGTGTTGTAAAAAGAATGAACTTTTGGTAGGAACTTGGAATGTGTATGGAGGGAAACCTTATCCTTAAAGAACATGGTATATGGTAGTTTTACTATAAATACTGCAATTTCTCCTACTTTTCTGGCTGATGTGATGGCTAGTAAGAAAGCAGTCTTATTATATAAATGCAGGAGGGAGCAGGTTGCCGTCAATTCAAAGGGTTGGCCCATTAGAAAGTTAAGGAAAACGTGAAGGTCCCATGGTTAAGTTGGCGGTTTAACATCTGGATAGAATGCCTATAGTCCCTTGAGGTATCTCCCAGTGTGCGAACACAGAAGTTGTATCTATTTTGAGATGAAAAGTTGTGATGACTGTCAGGTGTACTTTAATGAAACTTAGGGAAAACCCCAATTGTTTAAGGTGGAGAAGATAGTTCAATATTGTAGGAACAGATGCTGAGGTAGGAAACGTGCTGCTGTAGTACCAGTGAGAGAACCTTGTCCATTTGAGAAAGTAAGTTTTACCTGTGGATTGTGCTGCTATGCAACAACACTCTTTGAACTGGTTCTGAGCACTAACTCCTGATCCATGAACCATTGAGGTACACTTTGAGATGCAGCATGTGAAAGTTGGGATGCTATTCCTGTGTTGTGGGGTATGCTAGGAGGTTGGATGTTAGTGGTAGGGTGATCAGAGAAAAGGAAGACATCCTGGTGAAAAAGGGGTACCATGGTTCTCTGGGCCGTGAGGGAGCCACAAGTATTACTGTAGCTGTGGCCAAGCAAATCTTCTGTACCACCCTGAGTAATGGTATTGATAGGAAGACATAAAGGAGGCCACAGTCCCATCTGACCAGGAATGCATCGCCTAATCCTGCTCTGAAACAGAAGTTTGGGCATTTTCTTGTAGGGACTGCGAACTATGGGGTAACCCCAGGGGTCAAAGATTGGGTTGATGATTTCTGGATTTATCACCCATTTGTATTTTTGATGGAGAGATCTCGTGAGTGCATCTGCAATGGTGTTGAGAGCCCCTAGAAGGTAATGGATGGAGACTTATGTTGCGTCAAAGACACCAGTTCCACAGTTTCATGGATTCCTTGCAAAGCATGTGGGATCAAGCTCCCCCTTGCCTCTTTATGTAGAGCATACAGGCTATGTTGTCAGTGTAGAGTCTGACCTGTTTGCTTTCTATGAAGAGACTACAGACCCTGAGCGGTGTGGTCCACAAGGAGCACTCCCCATCCTGTGAAGGAGGCATCTGTTGGAATAGTGACACATGGTTCTTCTTGTGTAAAGGGGGCCCCTGAACACAGATTGTATTGGATTGTCCACCAAGTAAGGGATTGCCTGATCACAGGAAGGATGGAGAGGAGGTTATTGAGGAAATGTTGAGAGATCTGGACATAGTATATAACCATCTCTGAAATCCTTGCATGAAGAGGCACGTATTCATCACAATTACATTGCAAGAGGCCACATGTCCGAGTAGCTTGAGATAGTCATGAGCAATAACCTGCAGGCTGGCCTGCAGTTAGCATACTGGGAACTTGATGTTGTTGAATCTGTCATGTGGAAAAGATGTGATAGCTGTTGTTGCATCTAATTGACCTCTTATGTACTGTAGCCTTTGAGTGGGAATAAGTGAGGATTTGTTTCTGTTGATTTGCAGAACAAGAAATTGGGAAAAAAGAATGGTTGTAAGGATGCTTTGATAAGAGTCCTGTAGGAAAAGGGCATTTAAGCAGCAGTTGTCCAGGTATGGGAAAATAATGCCTTTCTTTTTTTAGATGAGCAGTAACAACTGCCAGAATCTTAGACCTAGGACAAACCAGAGAAAATGTGAGCTGCATATACTGTAGTGTCATGTGAATGTGTGTCTTGCAGGATGAGGGATGAAAACCAGTCATCCTGCTCCCAGTACTGACATATGGTTGCTCCTCCCCCCCCCCAAAAAAAAAATAGGGTCACCATTTTGAATCCTACGTATTTGTTCTGAGCTCTGAGATAAAGAATAGAGCAGCATCCCCCATTTTTCTTCTCTGTGAAAAAATGGTGGGAATAGAATCCCTTATATTGGACAGCTATAGCTCCAAAGTGGAGGCAATGTATTTTTGGAGAAGCAACTGTATGTGAGAATGGCCCCTATGCTGAAGTCCCATCAGTGCCAGGGATCTTTCCAAAAAGCCTTCCCTTTTCGAAAGAACCGCGTCTAGACCGCGGTTTTACTTTCGAAATAGCACTTTTTTGAAAGAGCGCCATTACGTGATTATGCAAATAAAGCATGGGAAATTCAAATCCCGGCTTCATTTGCAATTTCAGAATGCCTAATTTACATACCTCTGTCGAAAGAGGGATGTAATCTAGACGTACCCCCTGAATCAAAGGAAAAAAATGTGTCTCTTCACAAACAAAGACAGCCTTTAATTCTAAGTTTTTAATAAAGATTCATAGATTCAGCACACATTTTTATTTAAAATGTTTTAAAAGATTGTAACAACTTTAGGTTTTAATGTATTTTGTATTAAATTCAGATTTCATTTTAAATAGGTTTATTTTTAAAATTTAAACAAAATAAAATTGATTTAAATCAAAATTTGTTTTTGTTTTTTAATTATCCAACCTGTTAGAAGCAGGATCCCCTTTGAACTCTTTCATTTTCTACCATATGGCTGCAACTGGGTTTCCACCACCCACAGTACAAAGCAGGAGTTGAGTTTTAGGAAGGCAGAATACTGGAGCGCGTAAGTCGGAACTATTTTTCATCCTCCCTATTATGTCCTTTATCGTAACAATTCTTTCAAGGTATTTTCTTCTCTACCCTTTTGGGTTTGCACATACCCTGTTTGTCAGTCTTTCCACTGGGAAAGTATTCAAAATATGGTCCCAGTCCTTATATAGATATAAACCTGAACTAACATCAATGTCAATGAGATGTTTGTCTACAGCAGTCGGAGGACCTATGCCTATACATGTAACTAGTAGTATTACTTCTAGTAAAGCTCTTAAAAGAGAAGTAATTACATTTGAAAGCTTGTGCAACAGTTCTAATCTCCTGCAGAAAACAAATTCAAATTTAATTGTTTTTGGTAAATGAGAGTCTGTCATATTAACATGAAATTCCAAACACTTTAATTAACCTGCTGTGGCAGAACCTTTTAAGCCATCCAAATGAATAAAAACCTGTGTAACTTGAGAAGTAAAAGGTAAGTATCAGGAAGCCTAATGGAAAATTTCTCAGGAATCTGCTATCTTCATGTATGTTGAAGGAAGGTCAATTTAATTTTAAAAATTAGAAGATCACTGGAGGCCAGATTGCCAATTGTTAGGTTTACATTTACAACTTAATATAATCAGATTGTTCTACTTTTATTGACCCTGAGTGACAATCTTGTCAGCCAGATCTCTGATCTGCTGGTAAAAAGTAGCAAAGTGCCTTGTGACAAAGACTAAACTTCTTACATATGAAGGCTAAATATCCAAGTCACCTATCTGAAAGAGAATTAATGATATAGCAGAATTTTAGACCCTCTTATAGCTGTTACTCTGCAGCCAGTTACTGTAAATCAGGTCACACATTCCATAGTCTCATTGAGTCCCTCACAGCTTTCCAGAATTGTTTTAGCTGAAATTTTCCATATTCCTTTTGTTTTTCAAGAGAGCTAGTTTTGCTGATTCACGAGACATACGGGGAAAGCACCATTTCCTATTTTTGTAAGTTTCCCATTTTCTGTTAACTTCCCTCCAACAATTAACTCAACAATAGCTAAACTTTGTATACTTAGGATATATGGAACCAAATCATTTAGCAGGCTATGTATCATAAAAAGATATTTAAAAAATTAATTCAATGACAATGTTACAGAGTCTAATTTTTAGCACATTGCACGAGAATAGGCACACAGATTTCATTTATAAATGTAGACTTACGTGTCTTTGCTGCATCTTACTGCACATTTAATATTACTCTAACGTAAGACTGTCTCGTGTTCCTTTCTCAAAAAGTTTAGTTTCTGCATCACTAATTAGTAAACAAAAGTAGCAGATTTTAAAACAAAGACTTCCTCCCTCTACTATGTGAACAAATACATAAGACAGAGAAACAGAATTTGTTCCTTGAGTATCAATGACCCTAGCATGCAGTATTTTATGAGATAGTGAAACATTCTCAAATACTAGGACAGTGGTTCTCAAACTTTCTGGGCTCTGGAGCCCTCTACATGTGTAAAAATGTATGCGGAGCCCCAGCGGTCCACTGATTATATGTATTGTACCTATCGATGTTTCCAGTTTGTCAACCTCGCGGAGCCCCTGGAGATGTCTCACGGAGGTCTGGGGCTCTGTGGAGCACAGTTTGAGAAACACTGTACTAGGATAATGCTAGTTAAATTAAATATGGGTGTCTCTCACTTTTCATTAACTACTTATTAGATTTACACATAGTATACGTATTTCATGACAGCACGTGACTTAAATAAGGCACATGATCTTCATACTGTATAATATAGCATCCACATCACAATATTATCAGAAATATTTTACTTTTTAAAAAGGTCTTTGTCCAGCATGACACCATCAGAAGTCGTTTGAAGAGTTAGCCTTAACATATCCATGCACTCTTTCAACCGGGGATCAGACGTACGCAATCCTGTAGATTTGAGTGCCTATTATAATAAAAGAGAAGTTAGAATTATTAAAATATGAAAAATTCCTTTACTGAAATATTAAATTATCTAGTGCTTACCCCTATTTGTTCTCTTCTCACAATAGCCTACCAAAATTTCATCCAATTATTATATAGGTAGGTTCAATACCCTGATCTCTTGCTATGGTACCTTTACTAGTGGCATCAAAAGACCTCCGCTGTTTTAACAATATCAGTGAATTGAGTAGATGGACCATAACTTGAGAAGAAACCATACTACTGGGGAATTTGTGGGTATGCAAAAAGACTTCCCCAAATAAAATAGTATTTATTCTTAGATGACAGACACAAAGGCCCAAGTAATTCCTTTCAAATTGTGTGCAGGCTAATGACTATGGAAAGTCTCACCCTATTCATAGTCCCTTAGGAGATCACTGTGGTAAGTCCAGAAAACAAGGAATATCACAAAGTTGTAGCTCATCATGTAACAGAAAAGTTAATTGAATATCTCTGCTTGCTAAAGCATAACATAATATACAACTAGGGAAGTAGAACACACACCAATATGGTGATTTAAATCATTAACCTCAATTATTATTTAAATCAGCAAGTAGAAAACCCTTATTTAATCAGTATTAATCTTGGCACATTTATATTTTAAGTAATTTTCCTGAAGAAAGATAGATTCTACAGTCTCCATATAATTTGGTACTTCTTTTTACTAATCAAGAGAATACAGCATATGTATACACATTTATGCAAGTAATTACATAACATACATTTATTCAGATTCTTAATTTTCATGGTTTTTATTGTGTTAGAAAATGGTGATGAATGCATTTACCTAGAGTTTTTTTTAAACTCAGGATTTCTATCAAGCTGTAAATGAAATTTAGAATTCACTTAAAATGCACAAAGACAACACCACTTTAAAATTATTTGTTAGGTAAACAACAGTAGCTTAAATATGTTAACAAGTTAAAAAAAAGTGTATCAAATACAGTGTTTTGCACTGAAAACTGATTTACTGAACAAATCTAAGTATGAACTGGAGATAGCAACTGTTTCTAGTCACCACACCCTTTAATATTTTAGAACTCATAAATTCCATCCTTTCACACCTCATTTTCTTTCATAAAGGAAACAAGCTTTTCTAGTTTTCAACTCCAAATTTTGCATGAACTAAAGTAATAAAATGGAAATGAACAAGCAGAATTGACGAAAATATTCTCTGAAACTGCGGAAAAAGCTACCGGTTATCAAAGGAACTTCAACATACAGAAGTCCACAACTTAAAAATGGATGTTCGGAACACAACCTATTTGTAAGTCAGTTGTTTGGAACTCGGAATACATTTTCCCATAGAAACAAACAATGTTATAAATGGTGACTAGGCCTATTTAGTCAACAGAGCTGCTGGCATATTGTATATTTCCAATGAAAAATAATTGCAATACTAGTAATTAAACAAAAAACAAAATCAACAACATTGACTAAGAAATATTTTTTTATGTAACACTGAATGCTGGTTGGTGCTTGAGGAACAGCAGGCTTAATTAGAAAAAGATGAGAAGGTAGGAACAGATTCTGAGGGGCTTCTGGATACCCCCTGGCCACAAGGCTACATTAAGTCTTCTGAGTGCCTGGGGCTATTTCATTTTGGGGGAACTTCTAAGCTCTAGTGTGGGGCCAAAAGTGAGGGGTTCAGAATACAGCAGGAGGCTGTGGCTTGAGGCAGGAGGTTGGTGCCAGAGAGAGTGAAGGCTGTGATTGGGGATGTGTGCTCAGGGGTTGGTGTGGGGGCTTTGGGGTATAGGAGGGGGCTCCAGGCTGGGGATCAAGGGTTTGGAGTGTAGGAGAGGCTTAGAGAAGGAGGTGGGAATAGGAGTGGAAGAACTGGGCTGCAGGATCTGAGCAGGAGTTAAACTGTGGAGGGGGGTCAGGGCTGGGGGCAAGAGTGTTAGGACGCTTACCTGGGGTAGCTCCCTTGCGGTGGCACAGGCCTGGAGGAGAGGGCAAGCAGATGGCTCTGCATGCTGCCCTGCATTTGCTTGCCTTCAAGCATGACCCTCGGCAACTCCCATTGTCCCCAATTCCCAGCCAAGGGGAGCTTCAGGCACTGAGCCCGCACGTGAGGGAAGCGGGAGAGCTTCCTGGAGTTTGCAGCTCCAACCCTGGAGGGCGGTGTGGGAGAGAATGGCAGAGCACAGAGCCACATCCTCACCCCACCAAGCAGGGCTAGAACACAGGGGCTTTAGGGGATGCAGGCCAGAGCCCTGGGCTAAAGAGACCTGGAAATAAGTTCTGCATTTTTGGTAGCCTAGAGATCTTTTTACAAGACCCCCCACTTAGCCCAAAGCTATGGGCTATAGCTCCTAAAGCCCTTTCTTAATCCAGCCCTACCCTCGTCCCCCAGCATGGGCTCCAGCCATCTCCAGCCTCGCCCTACAGCAGTCACCCAGCCCACAGGCTCTGCACCTTGCCTTCACTCACTGGGAGGGGGCAAACAGCACAGACCGGGTGAGAGAATTCAACCACTCAGATAGCCCCATCTGGAGACAAGCATCACATTGCCACCCCCTCTCTTCAAGCTGCTCTCTGCCTCCTGGTGAACAGGGCTGGGTGCAGTGCCCTTAAGTGCAGGAGGGGTGGCTGGGGGATGGAACTGCCAAAGCTAGTGCTGAGCCTGCAGCAAGTGAGCTGCCAGATCCCATGGGAGCTGAGGTCGCATGGGGGTGGGGGTGGGCTGCCAGAGCCCATGCTGAACACACAAGTGAGGGGAGGGCAGCCACAGATGAGGACTGAAGGACTGCAACCAGCCCTTTTCATGCTGCTCACCACCACCTACACCTCTTGCTTGCTCCCTTGAGGCTGCAGGTGCATTTGTACCTGAGGAGCTCATATACTCGAATGTTTGTAAGTTGGTGAGTGCCTGTACTTTGGCTTTAGGTATCTAGCCGGAGACTTCCATCAGTCCTATGGTTTGACTTTCCTTAGAAAGTCTGCACATCTGCACTGCATTTTTGCTGTTATTTACATTGCATTACTTTACCACAGCAAATGTAACTGATTTTTTAAAAGGAGAATTAGTTCTAATTCTAAAAAAATCTGAGGGTATTTTTCTGTGTGCACATGTGCGCGCATGCAATTTTTATCCACTTTGAAACTTACAGTAATGAACTTATGAACTGGAATTTTTTCTTGCCCTTCTGCAATCGTATAGAACAGCAAATCTTCCAAGCTGGGCAAGAGACCTTGTTTCATCTTACTAGGAATAAAAAGAAAATCAAAGAAGAGTTAGTACACATGCATTATTTACTGATTATCCACTCTAAAAAAGGAATCTAGAGTCAGACCAGTTCCACTAGCAGAGAACTTGAAGGCATTTGCAGGACAGTTATTTCAAAAATTTAATTCAGCTGACACAAAATAGTGATATGTTAATAAAGTAGCTTGTATGTGTGATTCTTTTTTTAACTGTAGTTAAGATATCCAACAGTTTGCATTAATGGTATTAAAACCGGTTTTGTATACGGCAATAAACTCAAATGAATGAAGAGTACATATTTATTCTAATGTAGCAGTTTCACAAATTGACATCACATCCTCCTGTTTATGAGGTTCTATAGCACAAGAACACATGTGGACAAATATGTTGAATCACTTGATTAGACGACCAAGTTCAACTCCAATATCGGGGGAGCAAAGAGGAGGAAGAGGCACAAATTGTGTTTTGTTCACAAGGCTTAATTCCACCTTTGAAATCACAAGCAGGCTTCTCACTGACTTGAGGGGGAATTATACATGTGGAAGGGCACAATTTGTCTAGAGACCATGAAGACTTGCTCTCTGAACTGTAAAGAAGACTGGTTTTCACTATGAGAATACAGATGTGCATGACAGTTTTATAGCCTTCATTCTTTTCTTCACCTCACATTTTCTCTGACCACATACATCAAGACTAATCTTACTTTTCAAATATTGCATCCCTCTCACAGTTTAAATAACAAAAAGTAACTCCTAGAAAGTAGGGATGTAAAGTCACATTTAATTAGTTAATATGTTAAATATTTTTAACTGGTTAACAGATTAAAGGGGGCACAAGTAAGGGGAGGAACACACAGCCCCTGACTGTGGGGTGTCAGGGCTCCCTATGGACAAAGGCTGCTCTATAGGACCGGACAACTAGAGCAGCCCCTGTCCTCAGCAGACCTCCTGTGAGGCTGGAGTAATGTCCTGCCTGTAGCAGACGGGGAGTTGCTCCAGCCCCCACCAGTTAACGAGAACCGGTAAGTTCACCTGGTAAGGGCAACGATTAGTGGTTAACCAGTTAACCTAACTCACGGTCTCCTGAAATGGCCAGTGCCAGAAATTTCACGGGAAGGTGCAAAAATCCTATGGTAGGATAATTAATTTTTCTTTACAGAAGCTTATGCCCTATCCCCATCAGCTAATAGCTGGCTCATACCTGTAAGCACAAGTTTATATATTTTTTTAAAAATGTCTACCTCCTAGGTACAATATCCTAATAAAGCAATGGATGCTTTCATTATCCATATACACATCTAAGAAGTTTTTTTTATTCCTAATCAGCTCCTGCTATCAATTATATGTTGTTGCAAGTCAGTTAAAGAAAGAAAACTTTAAAAAAAAATGTTTCCACAGTTATAAGTCTGGGCTTTGAAATTTTATTCAATAGCCTTTTATTCTTGTATTATGAATGTTTAAATTGAATAGACAGATTTACCTTCTCTAAATAATTCACTTGCACACCTTTTATCCTTGCTAAAGTAGTATTTCTGGCATTTCACCCTCAATGTAATGCTACAGGATCAGCAATAAATTGTGTTCCCCTCCCAGCTCCTTCTCAAATTAGATGATGAATATTAAATAACAAAACAATCTTTTTTGAAGCTTCACAATAGCATGCCAGGAATTTCAGGTTTAAAGTCAGCTTTTTAAATGCTACTCTCTAGATTTGCACTGTAATAGATTGCTGATATTCTCATTGGACCTAATATCTCAGTATTACTAGGAACAAAGTTACAATGAGCTTCAGATCATTTTCCCTTTTCCTCATCCTATATGCACTTCAGGGTTTTTTTAGACTTAGTGTCAACTTAAAAAAAAAACTATGCTCTTTGGTACACGTCAAATTTAGAGACTCTCGGTAGTAATGAGTATCAGATGGGTAGCCGTGTTAGTCTGAATCTGCAAAAGCGGCGAGGAGTCCTGTGGCACCTTATAGACTAACTGAAGTGTAGGAGCATAAGCTTTCGTGGGCAAAGACCCACTTCGTCAGATGCTCTGTTTTTGTATACTAAATAAATAGAGATAACTGCCATCAACAGAAAGGGATGGTATGTAGTCTTCTTGCTTTAAATTTAACCATTAAAAATAAGTGTATAAACTTGTAACTTGAAAACTATCTTCAAATTAGTTACTATATTGTCATCAATGAAGTTCTTTCCTGGAAACAAAAACTTTCAGATGAAGCAAAATTACTGTCCGGTTGTGAAGGCTGTCTTTCACAAAATTCTAAAGAATTCTGAAATATATCCAAAAATAACTTGCAGGTCCCAGTCATAGGATTGCAGTAAATAGTGCTGCAAGTAGTCACGTAAAACATGTAGACCATCTGCAGATTCATACTTGCAGAAATACAGTATTAGCTGAAACTATTTCAATGATAGGTCAGTTTACTCATCAAAAATTAATAGTGAATCAATAACCTACATACATTTAATCCTATCCTTAATATTAACAATGGGCTTCATATTAAATTCTCCTTCCCTCTACTAGGAATGTCAATAGGTAGCCAGTTACTAGGGATGTAAAATTTTGATTGACTAATCAAACAGATAATACAATTTGCATCAACTATTCAATTAGTCGATAAGGGCGCCTTCACCTTTGAAGTGTAGCAACAGCTACAGGGTTGCTTCAAAGGCGAAAGTGCTGTGGGAAACACAGGGCAGTCCCCCACTGGCCCAGTGCTTCCTGCGGTGCTTCAAAGAGGCAGTGCTGCATGGAGCCCGGGATCAGTGGGGATCAGCTTAGAGTCCCCAGATGACAACGGCCTTCACGGTGCCTCTTTGAAATGCCGCAGGGAGCCCAGGCTCAGGCTTCATGCAGCATTTCAAAATGGCAGCCCCACATGGAGCCCCCTGTCTAACCTACCCCTAGGTTTGTCAAGCAAAAAAAAAAAAAAAAAAAAAAAGAGGGGGGGGGGGGGGGGGAAGCAACTAGTCGACAAGCGTATTGACTATCCAAAAAGCATTTGCTCATTGGACAGTCGACTAGTCGTCCACATCCCTACCAGTTACCTTGTAAGCATCAGTCTCATCAGGGAATGCTTACCAACTACCGGTTTACTTGTGCGCCACACCCAGGTACAGGTTGAGAGCTGCTCAAGCCCTGAGGGGGAGGGGAAGGGGCAAGGGTGTATCCCAGGAGTAGGAGCTGGGCACCAAACGCATGGGGGGAAGAGGGGGGGCCAGGAACTGTATCTGGTTTACCCACAGCAACAACCCAGTACATGGGGAGGGAGGTGGCACAGCAGGATCCTGCTTAATCGGTTAACAGGTTAAAGCTAAGGTTTAACCAGGTAACTGACTAACCAGGAATTTACATCCTTCCCCAAAATTTGTGATTTATTTATTTAAAAAAACCACACCCACCACCACCACACACACACACACACACACACACACACACACACACACACACACAGATTTCCTATTTTACATGACTACTTGCAGCAGTATTTACTGCAGTCCTAGGGCTAGGTCCCACAAATTATTTTTGGATACAACTCCAAATTCTTCAGCATCTTGTGAAAGACCGCTTTCACAACCAAACAGTCATTGTGTTTCATCTGAAGGTTTTCGTTTCTAGGAAAGAACTTGACTTGCATTGATGACGGTATAGTAACTAATTTGAAGATTGTTTTCAAGTTACAAGTTTATACACTTATTTTTAATGGGTAAGTTTAAAACAAGACTATATACCACCCCTTTCTGTAGATAGCAGTTATCTTTAATGATTAAGTACAGTTATCATGTATGAATGCACTAAGAACAGATGTGGATTTATGAACTAACAGAGCTCTTACTGTTTCCTTTTCATTTCAGAAAAATCATCTGTACACTAGCCAGCATTGCCTCATTTAAAGACAGGCTGGCAACTCAGAGACAAATACATGCAATTATGCCAGGAAAGTTACAGAACTTTCTTCAAAGTCTTCCATGCCACATTTTGCATCTTTAAGATCCAATTCACTTAGCTTCTAAAACAGACAATTTTTAGACTTCAAAAGTATTATACACTGTTAAAGTAATTTTATACTGCAATTTAAAAGTATCTAAAGTATCAAATTCTATTTCATATATTTTAGGAGTTACAATATAATACACATTCCTTTTAACCTTTTTATGCAGTTTCAGTACATTTACCTGTGAACTTCCTGAATTATGTACAACTATATGCAGTATTTCTATGAACACAAAAAATTTATTTCTGGCCATCTGAAATCCAGATTGAATGTTTGTGGTCACTCGGGCAATGCATATACTTGCAAAAATTTTACAGAGGGCAATGCATATACAGTAAAACTCCATTAGTCCGGCATCCAATGCTCCGGGACTCCTGATGGTCCGGCACCATCAGGAACCCGGAGTGCTGGGGCAGCCCGCCAGGCTTCCCCCATTCAGCTGCTGCTGAAACTGACCAGGAGTGTCAGTTTCACCAGCAGGCTGAATCCCGATGCCTGGGGCAGAGCAGGCATCCCCGATTCAGCTGCTGCTGAAACTGACCAGGAGTGTCAGTTTCACCAGCAGGCTGAATCCCGATGCCTGGGGCAGAGCAGGCATCCCCGATTCAGCTGCTGCTGAAACTGACCAGGAGTGTCAGTTTCACCAGCAGGCTGAATCCCGATGCCTGGGGCAGAGCAGGCATCCCCGATTCAGCTGCTGCTGAAACTGACCAGGAGTGTCAGTTTCACCAGCAGGCTGAATCCCGATGCCTGGGGCAGAGCAGGCATCCCCGATTCAGCTGCTGCTGAAACTGACCAGGAGTGTCAGTTTCACCAGCAGGCTGAATCCCGATGCCTGGGGCAGAGCAGGCATCCCCGATTCAGCTGCTGCTGAAACTGACCAGGAGTGTCAGTTTCACCAGCAGGCTGAATCCCGATGCCTGGGGCAGAGCAGGCATCCCCGATTCAGCTGCTGCTGAAACTGACCAGGAGTGTCAGTTTCACCAGCAGGCTGA